AAAATTAACCATTAAAAACGAAGCGCCACGAGCTTACCTCTACTACCATATATAACGTGTATGTGTTCACTGTGTGAAAAGTCCCTAGTGGACGAAACGTCTTAATATATCATAACCCAAATTTACACACTGTGTACTCTACCACTGTATTACCAATATTCGTATAACCACTGGTAGTCAGTAGGTAAACAGACACAGACACACGCACGCACGATATGCAAGAGCAACTACGATTACAAACAATACCATTTAGCACAGCAATTTCCTAACATGAAGCTATCGTTTTTGCTCCTAGGCAACAAAACTTCTTCCATAAACATCGTTTAGGCAAATTACTCCAAAGTCAAAACAACGGTTGTATAGGAAGGTTACCTTACCGACGGTGATATAAACTTCACTATCAAAAAAACGTGTTTATAGCTGTTATTCGTTAACCACAAAATAAAAGAGAAATGAAAGTATCGACAAGTCATCCGCTCAATCAGCGTCACCTAAATCATTCTCCCATACACCTTCCACTCCTCCATCCCCCCCCCCCCCACAAATGCCTCTGATTTCATCCAGCAGAATACTAAAATAAAAAAATAACGATTTCTCTATATATAAAAGAATGATGGAATAATTTACAACTCAGAAAGATGCACATATTTTTCTCCTAAAATAAGTGATAATGATGTCCATGATTTTGAAAAAAAAAATGCATATTTTTCCCATTATGGTATTGATTTTATTTTATTTATGAGAAAAACCTGCCTAGCATGGATCAGTAGAGTTGTTGCAGTGCTCCTCTACTATTATATTCTTAAAAATGCTAACTCGTTGGGACCATACAGCGCTGAAATTAAACGAACGAGGTCATGTCCTCCCCATTTCAATCAAAGAATAGGAATAGATAATACAAAAAAATACAGGAACTGAAGGTGTATGTATGTGTGGGGGAGGGGGGGTAAGGGCAAAGGACAGGACGACGACGACTGCTGGTGTGGAGATGACTGGTGCTGGTCACTGCTAATGACGGAAGCTTCCACAATGTGTTCGCACCGCTTCGTTATATTTATTAGTTCTGTTCCACAGCCTCACACAGTGACTGTTTCCACTCGATACTGCAGGTAGGAGGGAACTAGCTACCGCCTACCCTCCATGCTCTCCACTATTCTCTAACTTAGTCCGTTACACACCATACCACGTCTTTTTTCCCTTATCTTCCACCCGTTAAACTTTAACCGAAGTCCCTACTACCTGTCCTACACTCTCTCTCCACCTCTAACTACCACTCTACCACTCCACAAGTCAGTACTTCAACACCTTTTACTCACCACTACTTCCTTCCACCATCCTGAGGGATGTTAATTTCCACGTACGGTAGAGACGATGTGTGCACAGCAAAATTTTATTTACGGACGACGTTTCGCTGTAAACAAATTAAGGTTTGCTCTACACAGTATTACTACTAGACTTGTAGGCAAGTCTTGCTTTCAAATTTTCTCACATAATTAAAAGCGTAATTATGCTGAAACAATCGCCGAAGCTGCTGTAGCTACTAAGCTCATATTAGAATACTTGACGAAATGCTTTTCGCTCTACTGAAGTTTCCCATGGGTTTCAAGTATGACATATTTCATGTACGTAACTCATCTTCTATGATGGAATATGGCTTGGAAATATGGCTAGCCTCTGTTCCCACTTTTTAAGGCTCACATAATAGGAGAGCAGAAAGCTGATGTGAAAATATGAAAATTTCTGAGTCCTTACACTGATAGGAGACGTTGGTAGACAGCAACTGCCCAGAGAGGCACTACCGCAGTCAGGTTCGTGTGAAATGGACGCTTGTTAAATATTTTGTATTGACAACGTTGCTCGTCTTTACATACTGTGGCATGAACATCTACGGGCTGGTAATTCTGTAAACATTTCTTCTTTCATACTGATTACACTTATAATTTTCCTTTCAAATTTCGAAGGTCTAGCATGAGATTGAGCCAAGATTCCCAGAAACATTGACAAGTAACAGATAACCAACAGCCTGTACCCATCAAGAACTCAGAGAGTGCAACGGACAAGTGTAGTAGTAGCAGCAATAACACAAACAGCAAGAGGCATTCTTGAACTTCCCCAGGGCTCGGGCTTATACCCAAAGCTGGGTTGTGACTCCAAAAGGATCCTGTAGTGCTTGCTGCCCTTTGCACCTCCTGACATCGTCTGCTGCTATGCAGCTGCCACACCCTTCGAGCCCTGTGTGGGCAGGGTTTGTGGCAGCCCAAGGTCCCTAGTTTCTCCCTCCGAGCCCCGTGGGGGCGAGGAATGGGGCTAGGCCTGGGGACAGCTGATCCCAGAAGACTTGTACCTCCTCCCACGGCAGACGCTCCCTCCACAGGGAGCCAAGGCCGGGCCACCTCTTGGAAAAGGCCCGGGCCGGGCGATTATACCGGCGAATCTACAACAGAACAGAACATCAAGAACTACTACTACCGCCCACTCTCTGATTAACCAGCTAGTGTCATCACCCAAAACAACAGATGGTGACCACAATGACTAACTTCCCAAACATACCTTTGTGTTTCACACATCTGTCGCTGCTACTTATTTACTTCCTCCTCCTTGTCACGTCTCCCTCTCACAAAATGTCGCTGCCACTTTAGGCTTAATTAAGGCATTTGCTCTCTGACCTACACATTTTCTTTCTCGCCTTTCACTCTTCAAACTAAACAACTACGCCAAAATTATACTTAGTGTTGCTTAAAATTTCAAGTATGCAAAGTTAGTCAGTGAGTTTTATGTATTACACACGTTGTCACACATTTCATATTTTGAGTATGTTCATGTCCTTCTACGAATTCTAAACTTAGAAAAATATATGTATAACCTGTGAACCTGATTCTAGCTTTAGTTGGTGAAATATTTTTCAAAGTTTTGTTGTACATAAAGGTCGTGAAACCTTGTCTGCTTCTCCAGTTAACATACATACAAACACCAATAAACTCATGACACCAATAAAAAAAAAACGAAGACAAAGGTAAAATGAACACTAGATTAAAAAAATATTCGCTTGAAGATCAAGCTTCTTCAAGTCTATAGACGTGAAAAAACTTGATCGCCAAGTGAAATATTTTACCTTGTCAATTGTCCATTTTGCCTTTGTCTTTGTTTTGTTTCATGCCTCTCAGATGCACACCAAAAACACCAACACACCGAGACCAGTACCAATGAATCGACCCTGCCAAGACAAGTGAGCATATCAACACTCACCAAAAGACAAACCACCAACATACAATGAGAAACAAATCCATCAACAAAAACCGGCCTATAAGGCATCAATTAATAAAAGCAACACGAGCCACGATACGCAGGAAAGCAACGAAAACAAAATAAACAATGACAGGCACAGCGTCAAATGTAAAGAATAACTTCCAATTCCACACAAGTCACCGTGAGGACGACCAATGAGAGACAAAAACATTACATTACAGGAACGAAAGAAATAGGGATTGAGGTTTGAAGAAAAATAGTTTTTCTAACAGAAAAAAATGGATACTTCAGCATTGTGTTGCCCCCGATCTATATGATAGTTGCACAGTTGGAACAAAGCTAGCCATGCTTCCCTAGCACATTCCATCACGCAGAATAGGGCTACTAGGAATATAGGAGGAGGAAGAGGTGGAGGGCAAGAGAGGAAAGACGATGGGCACTCGACCGTTCTCTCACTCGAATACGCCAGATGCTTCTTGAAAGTGGTCTGGGAGAGGAAGTAAATGGGAAGATGGTGGAAAGAGGAAGAGGTAGGAATGGGGAGAGGTAGAGAGGAAGAAAGATGGGAAGGTGAGGCAGTGTTGTAGTTATTCTGTTGCTGTAGGATGAAATGGTTAATACTCAACCATCTTTACCAAAAACGTCTCAGAGACTCGATTTATCAACAGTTTAAAGAAATTGATAACCACTTTTAGCTCAAGTGGACACTGCAATTTTGGAAACAGTACACTAATCAACAATAGTAATAAAATTGAACATTAAGTTACAAAAAAATCATTGGGCACAAAAATAAAAAAAATATACACTAAAAATATACAGAAGACAAGAAACGTAATCCTTAATGACTAGACACAAACTATAAGACTGAGAAAAGCTATTAAGCCTTGCAACAATCTATAAAGACTGGTCACTATAAACTATCAAAAAGGACCATCAGGATAACTTGCCACAAACTATCATAAAGACTATCAAGAAAGAATGGAACATGTAAACATCAAGAATGAACATGAGAACCATAAAGAAAGAATGAACATATAAACTATACAGATTGGACACAAACTATTACTGAGACTGAACACCTATAATTACAGCAACTAAATGCATACAAGGAGGCAGAAAAGGATATGTCTATACCACTTGAAGAGTGCATACTTGAAGAGTAGTCTGAGAATGACACTGTGAATACCAGCTTATATTTGTTATTCTCTCCTTCTCTTCCCATCTCCAACAGCTGCCTACAAAAAAGGTCAAGTAGAGAAAGAGGAGTCCTGAAGAAGAGAAGCGCCGCCCCTTGCCCATTTCCCTATATAAGAGAGGCGCTGCCACAGACGTTATCACACGCTCCTTCGCTTCCATACCAACAACAACGTCTTGAGATGTTCCTACTCAAGGTAAAGGTATTTCACAATGAACCCACAAATTGGAAAGGAAGATTGGATGTCGTTTCGACACTTACTGGACTTGATAATGGTCCTAGAAAGACCGAAACCTCGTCCTATTTCCATTTTTTCAATCTACGACTTCGCTGAGAACTTTTTCAGCCACAAGAGCAATTTTTTCTTCATATCATTTGGTTTAAAAGCACTAAACTTGTCTCTCAGAGCCTTTTGTTTGGGAAACTATTTTCTGTGAAACGATCACATGATAATCGTACACGATGCATCGCTAAGCTCGTAGAAAGTGCTGAGAAGTTACAAGCACCTTTAAACGTCAGTATCTCAAGCCTTCTGTGTAAACATCGACTTTCTCGCCAGGTGGCCGCGCTAGTGGTGGTGCTGGGGTCAGCAGTCGCCCTTCCCTCAGACCTCTACGGCGCTCAACCTGTTTACAAAGATGTGAGTAACACTTCTAAAGCAACGCTAAAGTCAAGTCTGTGTGTGCATTATATTTTAGCATTATCTTCTGTATCAGTAAACAATCTAACAAGAGTCCAAACACAAAAATGTAATAAATTTTAATAACTGGCAAAAACGAGCAAACTTGGGGACGATGAAAGAGGAGAGCCCTTGAAGTGAAGGGGGCAGCAGGGTGCGTTGATGAAGGGCTCTTGATCTAAGAAAGTGGAATTTACCTTCCTCTTTTTTTTTATTATAATGTCTTAGTGACAGTGAAATAGAGGTTCGTTAATGACTAATGACAGGTAGAGTGGTAACATTTACTTTAAGAGAACATACTTAAAAAATTATTGCATGGTACAATTACCAGCCACCAACACTTTTGCAGGAAACCATCCCTTACAACTACGCCTACGGTGTTAAGGACGACTACGCCGGCACTGACTTCGGCCACAACGAGGACTCAGATGGCAACGCTGTCAAGGGCTCATACAATGTTGCTCTTCCCGACGGCCGCATCCAAACAGTACGTCAACAAGAGTGTTCAACTCCACGTTTCATTAACCACATTTTATTATTATATATGCATAAAATAATCTATTTTTTCCCACTCCCACTAGGTGAACTACGTGGCTGACCACTACAACGGGTACCAGGCTCAGGTGAGCTACAAGGGCGAGGCTCAGTACCCCCACGAGTATGGTCCCGCTGTCACCTTCAAGCCCCAGCAATACCAACCCTCTTACCAACCCCAGCCATCATACCAATAAGCGCCGATGTAATAATATTCATGTTACCTCTCCTAGTCCTATAAGTGTAAATAAAGCATGTTTTAATAAATTTAAATCTTTATTTTCCCAATCCCTGGATACCAGAAAAATGCATATCTCTGAGAAGTATTAACAAAAACTAAAACCTACACTGTAAATCCCATGGAAAACTCACCCTGAATACTGCGTAAATAAAAAATCGTAATAAAAAAAACGGTAATCTCTTCTTTGTAAGTAAATTCAAACTTAAAGAAGCTACACTGAAGCCAGTACACATCATCGGTGACAAAATATGGAAAAACGATGACGTGACAACAATGCAATAGTTTGCAGCATCTGCAATTCTGAAGAAAATAATTGAATGTGTAAAAAAATAGAAAAAAAATATTTGAGGGGAAGCTCGCGCAACAGAGGAAGTTGTGACTCTGCAGCTTAATAATGAATTGATTCACAAACAACGTACAATAACCGACAAATAACCCACACTTTCAAGAGGAAACCTTAAGAGGTTTCCATCCGTTCTGGACCATTACCAAGTCTCAAGTGAGCGAACGAATAGGAAAGAAACCAAACAACAGCCGGGAACTGAGAGTTGGAAGAAAATGGACATCTCAGGTGATTTGTATTAATGTTGGTAGGATTACCGAATGTGTTAAGTAAAAGAACATAAGTGCAACTAATACGACATTTTACTGTGGCAACGTTTCGCTCTCCAGGAGCTTTATGAAGCCGTTACCACGGCTTATCCTTGTGTCCTTTTACTTAACATCTCAGGTGTTGAAAATAACAAAAGAGAAGACAGTACGTATTAAAAGTCAACAAGAGTAGCAGTAAAAAACTGTGATGCTAGGACACTGGCTAATCACCTCAAAATGGTAAAATTGAAATGGAAATATATACATACAAAACAATGTAAAATCTGTGCGCGTGTACACTATAAATATACGTGTCCTCAGGAGAGTTATTCAAAACATTATATTTTTAACGTATACACTTTTTCATGACCCAATAAGCCCAACCCTCAACATGGCTTTCACCCCAGAGGTACTGTAACATGATTTTTTTAACGTGCTCATATTTTAAGAATGTTCTATTTAACGGTGCACACACACACACACACACACACACACACACACACACACACACACACACACAGAACAAGAGTATAAACGTAAACCAGCACAGTTTTATGGAAGGCAAATCCTGTGTCACAAACCTACTGGAGTTTTATGATAAAGTAACAGAAGTAAGACACGAGAGAGAGAGAGGGGTGGGTTGATTGCATCTTCTTGGACTGCAAGAAGGCCTTCGACACAGTTCCTCACAGGAGATTGGTGCAGAAGCTGGAGGATCAGGCACGTATAACAGGGAGGATGCTGCAATGGATCAGAGAATACCTGACAGGGAGCAAACAATGAGCCATGGTACGTGATGAGGTATCACAGTGGGCACCTGTGACGAGCGGGATCCCACAGGGGTCGGTCATAGGACCAATGCTATTTCTGGTATATGTGAATGACGTGATGGAAGGATTAGACTCAGAATTGTCCCTGTTCGCAGATGATGTGAAGTTAATGAGGAGAATTAAATCAGATGAGGATCAGGTAGGACTCCAAAGAGACCTGGACAGGCTGGACACCTGGTCCAGCAACTGGCTTCTCGAATTTAACCCCGCCAAATGCAAAGTCATGAAGATAGGGGAAGGGCAAAGAAGACCACAGACGGAGTATAGGCTAGGTGGCCAAAGACTGCAAACCTCGCTCAAGGAGAAAGATCTTGGGGTGAGTATAACACCGAGCACGTCTCCGGAAGCACACATCAATCAGATAACTGCTGCAGCATATGGGCGCCTGGCAAACCTGAGAATAGCGTTCCGATACATTAGTAAGGAATCGTTCAAGACACTGTACACTGTATATGTCAGGCCCATATTGAGTATGCAGCACCTGTTTGGAACCCACACTTGATCAAGCACGTCAAGAAATTAGAGAAAGTGCAAAGGTTTGCGACGAGGTTAGTTCCAGAGCTAAGGGGAATGTCATACGAAGAAAGGTTGAGGGAAATCGGCCAGACGAAACTGGAAGACAGGAGGGCTAGGGAAGACATGATAACATACAAAATACTGCGTGGAATAGATAAGGTGCACAGAGACAGGATGTTGCAGAGAGGGGACACAGAAACAAGGGTACACAATTGGAAGTTGAAGACTCAGATGCGTCAAAGGGATGTTAGGAAGTATTTCTTCAGTCATAGAATAATCAGGAAGTGGAATAGCCTAGCAAGTGAGGTAGTGGAGGCAGGAACCATACATAGCTTTAAGTTGAGGTATGATAAAGCTCATGGACCAGGGTGAGAGAGGACCTAGTAGCACTCAGTGAAGAGAGGAGCCAGGAGCTGAGTCTCGACCCCTGCAACCACAATTAGGTGAGTACAATTGAGTACACACACACACACACACACACACACGCATGCACATACAACAGGCCTAGTGTCTAATCGACATGTGCCTAGGACCAAATGGTAACACACACACACACACAGGACCAGTCACTACGGTAGCAAAAATGAAAAGTGTTTATATCTTTCAAAGTAACGATTGAATATAACCAGGCGTCTAAAGGAAGGAACTACGTTGCAGAACATCACAAATGATTTAGAAAAGGTGGTCTTCCTTCATCAAAGACAGCAATGGGCAGACTGCATATTCTTGTTCCACAAGAATTCTTTTTTAACAAATTGACTGAACACATCCACTCCAGGCTGAGGGACTGATTATCTCATATTACTAATCTTCCTCTGTTATTCTCTGTATTGGACTGAAGAAGCCACTGGCTGGTGAAACGTTTCCTCAAAAAAAGATTCCAAAATGTTACACAAGTGTATCTCATTCTCCAACGTAACATTCTCCAACTGACCGATCAAAAACTAGAAAAGTAGGCAAGACCAGAAGTAAATGTATACCAAAATGATAAAAGAATAACTATCGAACTGAAGAACTGATTCTCTATTTTTTTTTTAAACGACGATAAATTAATGAACATATTAAGAAAAGAAGTTGGTAAACAGAGGTTACACGAATACTTTGATGACCTGCGAAAGTTGTCAAACAAGTGGCTACTGGAACTCAAGCTAAATAAATGCCAGCTCATTGAAATCAGAGAAACATCAGAGTTGCAAATATAACGCATCTCAGTGGCAGTAATGCGACGCTACCGAATTTTATTACTGTCTTTAGGGACCTTAAAAAAAGAATACTTCAGGAGTCTGTATACGAGAGCTGTCAGGCCAGTGTTCGAGTATGCAGCACCAGCATGGAGCTCGCAGCAACTGACGTATTTTCAGATGCTGGAGAACATGTTGAGATTTGCAGCTACACTAGTGCCAAAAATTAAATCACCAGAAAAGATTAAAGCAAGTGAACCTAAGAGGAGAAAAAATAACAGGGAAAACATTATCATAAAAGTGCAATATACTATGAGGATTCAACAGTGTAGATAAGGCCAAACTCTGAAATAGAGACGTATGGCACAAGGATTCCCAGACAACTCGGACTTAACTACGCACTCTCGTGCGTAGTTAGGAGCTAAGCAATGTTGCAAGACAGGAACAGATGGGAAGGGAAATTCTCTGAGGCAAGGCAGAAGGTATCAATGGACGCCCATGGTCTACTCCTGTTAGTATTCTCTATTCTCATTAGTTTCACATCATCTGCGAAAGGAGACATGATCTTTGACCCAATTTCCTTTGTCATATATGTGTGTGTGTGTGTGTGTGTGTGTGTGTGTGTGTGTTCGTTCACTTATATGTGGTTGCGGGGGGGGGGGGGCGAGTCGAAGCACCCTTACTAGATTTCATATAAAAAAAAAAGCACCTTAATAATAATAATAATAAAAAGCGTCTACAAACATCTAATAATAATGCTCAATAACTCAGGTTAATTCTATATGTACATCAAAGTTGATTTTCAACGATATATAGAACACTTATCAACTGTAGGTTTTTAGGAAAAGCAACTTGACAAGTTGATAAATTGCCTAAAAAAAAAAACTGGTAATTAATATCCTAACTTTCTTTAAAGGAAGAGTGGTACTCCGCAATAAATTTCCGTCTCGACACAAAATCTGTCAAGAGACTTGATAAAGGCTGATATTACAGAGGAGTGGCGCGAGTAGTCTTAGGGACCTGGTATGCTTCTGGACTGTGGACACAAGAATACCTTCAAGCCTTCAAAGGAATTCAAACAAACAGGTGGAGTTGAGAAATCCAAAGTCTGTACTCGGAAAGTCTGCTGGGGATGTTGCTGTTAAGTAGACCATCACTGGTCTATGTCTGCTTTTTGAAAATGCAGTTAGTGGGGTGAGTACAAATAGAAAGCCTGTCCGTCTCGCTCTCAGCAGATGGAGGATCAAGACTCCATCACATAGCTCGCTGAATCACCTACATGGATTTAGCGCTTAACACGAATTAAAAAAAAAAAAAGTTAGGAGACAAATGACAAAAAGTCTGTTTTTCCTTGGATCATTTTCATTCTGGAGGAAAACGGGCGTGCTCAAAATAAATTAATACGTCAATGTAGAGAAAATGCCATGGGACTGGACCGGCGTTCCATTGGTCAGAGCGCACACGTTCTAACCATTACATCAAGACCGTCAAGGAGAGGCCACAAAGTTGGATTTCCTTTAATAACGTTTTAATGTTCTTATAACCCGTCAACCACATCTGGAGAGGGAACGGGAGAAGCGTAAACTTGGCATTACGTGAGCCACTTCTCCAGAGAAAATAGAAAAAAAAATCATCTTGGCTATGTGCCAATCATTTCTCTGGAGGGAACGGGAGAAAGAACCTCTATGTTGGCTATATAAGGTTGTCTGGCACGCTGCCGATCAACACATTCTCTTCTCCGGTCTACCAACACAACAACTCTCCCTCAAGATGTTTAAGGTATCTTACAGTGCTATTGGAAGAAACAAAATTTTGTTCATTTTTTGGACTTTGGAAAATATATAAGAGGACACGATATACTTGCCTTATGAGCATTAGTGTTCAGTGATTGCAGTGAGATCTGTATGAGATACACTAACAGCGCAAATAATACATTTAATAGGATGATTCATCATTCTGAAGTATTTCTCCCAGCAGGTGGGCGCGATCTTGTTGACAGTGGGTGTGATTGTGGCCCTTCCCACTGATCCCTACAGTCAACAAACTTACAAGTCGGTAGGTATCAGTCTTAAATGTTCCCAATCAACGGAAGAGTTGAACACAGTTCATACACACCTTCAGTGCCTCAGATAACAAAATTAATAATATTCTATGTGCCCAGAACCCCATCCCGTACAAATTCGGCTACGGTGTTAAGGACGAGTACGCTGGTACCAACTTCGGCCACAATGAAGACTCTGACGGCCATACAGCAAAGGGTTCATATAATGTTGTACTCCCTGATGGCCGCATACAAACAGTATGTCATATTATAATGTAACGAAATGAAGTGTAATATCTTTATATATATTATAGATTATTACAGATTTTTGTAATTGTAACCTGTTTCTACTACAGGTGAGCTACGTGGCTGACCATCAAAATGGGTATCAGGCTCAGGTAAGCTATCAGGGAGAGGCCCAGTACCCACACGAGTCCGGTCCTGCAGTCACCTTCAAGCCCCAGTACCAGAACTCATACCAACCTCAGCCCTCATACCAGCCTCAGCCATCATACCAATAAATAACTTAGAACGAATGTTCATCCATATATTGCCCCTAGTCACTTGTGTAATGTTCAATAAAAGTAGTTTGATAAACCTTAACGTTTCCATGGTGTTTCCTCAAAATACTATCGGAGATCATCGTCCAGATCCTAGATGTTACAACAGTTCTAATGGTGGACAACCTGTCAGTTCGTTCTGTTTATGTTTGCAGTCCAACGTAGATACCAGAGTCCGTCTGATAGGGAGAAATTCGCAAGAAATTATAAGGTATTCGATAACTTAAGTGCTTTACTGAACTTATACTAAAAGTTAGTGTTATCTGTACATTCTCCAGATCCGAAATTTCGCCTGCCTTAGAAGGGGGAGAAAGAGCGACTTAAAAATATCACTGGCTTGGCATCTCTTTAAATGCATATTTGATAGTAACACTATTGTGATCCTTGAATGTCTTCTGACATTATCACCCCAAAATCCCTCACATTAATGTTCGCTCTAATGAATGACTATTGTACACTCTGTTGCAAGATTTATTTGCTTAATTTTTCCGTAGTGGAGTAACTGAAATTTGTCTTTACCGAACATCATATAGCTGAGTGTGGCCACTCGAAGATCTGGCTTATAGCAGCTTCGAAGCTTGCTGTATCCTCAATGGATGCCAATCTCATAACAATTCTAGTATAGTCTGCAAATGATGACTTATGTCTCTATGTCGGACATAAGAATGAGAAAGAATTGTAGAGAGTATTGTGCCTTGTTGAACAGTACTTTTCATTGTGATAGCCTCTAATTTGATTTTGTTCATTATTAATTTGAGAGTTCTATTACTAAAAAAGTTTAATATTCATCTACCCACTTTCCCAGTTATTCCTTTTGTACGCATTTTGTGTACTATTACACCATGGTCGCAGTTGTCGAAGGCTTTTGTAAAGTCTGTGTACATGACATCGGCATTTTTTCTTCCAATGCATCCAAGACAATGTCAAAACAGTCCTGCAGTTGCGAGCTGCTCTAAACCCACACTGCCGGCGTTGTACGACTGTTGTAAAACAATGTTGTTTAGCGATCTTGTTTCTTGAAACCCTTTCAAAAACTCTGATAATATGGGACGTTAGTGCCATCGATCTATAGATTTTTGTGGCTGCTTTGCTGCCAACTTTGTGAAGCGAGGCTATATCCGTGATTTTACTGACGGAAGACTCCCGTGTCCAGACGTCACCACCACATATTACTTAAGGGACGTGATAGGGAGTATCCTGTAATTCTTGATGAATATGACGGCATTACATATCCAGTTCGTACAAAAGACACTGTCTACTTTCGTAGCACATCATATAAGTTAAAACACTGAGATAAGAGATAAGTTTTCAAGCCACCAATGCGCTAAAGGAAAATGTTACAATGTTTAAAAAGTGATTTAGGAATTAAATATATAGCTATAATAAACTTCAAATATTTGTACGTAATTATCATTATCAGGTCTGATCTGAGGGGAAGGGTAGCCCCAATTCCTTGGATGAAGAGTCCTTCAATACCATCATAAAACAACTTTGAAGGGTGTACATAGTGAAATATTAAGATGAGTTATACATAAATAGCATAAGGTCGTAGAAAATATAAAAATACAATTGTCTAAAAAATAAATACTAGCTACAAAAAATCATGGTACAAGCGGTTAAAGTGTTCAGTAAATAGACAGTTTATGTTATGAATTTAACTCTTTATCCTACGATAACATTTGATTCAGTGATGAATAAAACGAATGATGTGCTGAAGCCTGGGATATAAACTCTTAAATACGTCAATCACTCCTCTTATAAAAAAATAAGATAAAAGATTTCGCCAACACTGAAAACAGTCACGGTGTTTGGTATGTGTAGCGCTCCCATCTTAGTTACTAGGAAGGTGCACATGACTCCTCCTTATACTGAAGAGGTTTTAGACGAAAATTAAAAATAGCTTGTTCCTTAAACCATTATTAAAAATATGGATTTAATAGCAGTATGACTGTGCAGAATCCTACTCATATATGAGCATGATAAGAATATTATAGAAAACGATTCGTATTACCACAGTGTGTAGTCACGAATGCAAAAAAAAATATATATAGAATAGAAAAAGAAACTAATTACAAAATGTGTGAGGGAGGAAGACATCTAAACAGTAATATGCACATATCTAAATCCTCCATTTACTATGGAAACACCTGTACTTTTTCTTCTAGATGATGTATTCCCAAGCCTAAATTAGCTGACGCGAACACATGCATCCCACTGTCTTACCAACGTTTTAAACCACTGTATTAGTGACTTCCATTTCACTCTCTTACCATTTAGCCTTTCTTCAAGTTAGTATGTATTATCGCTGTATATGTTTTATTAAATAACACAAAATAAAAATATCGGTTTATCATCAAAAATACCGGGAATACAACTTGCTCCCCCATGCCTGGCTGTCACACACTTGTGTGTCAGAGTAGAATAAAAACAGCCATTTATCTCTTGTAGTGAAGACGTAATGGGCGCAGCAAGGGTAATAAAACTATGCTCTTAACGGAATTTTAGAAAACTAGTATACTAGTGAAAGTGTCACTTGGCTGTTACTGTCAACAAATAACCACTTTCATTTGTTTGTAACACAGACAGCAGCTTTAATTTGACTGTTAGACAGCAACACTAAGAAACAGCAGCTAAACTTAAATTGTTTTGACTTAAATCGTTCGACAAGGAATTTTACCTGTCGAAGAGACAATGGAGAAGCAGAGATAAAATTAAATATACGACAAGCCACGATGTAGGTCAAGAAAATATAAGTGAAACTATAAATAGCTGACTTAGTTCCCTAAACTTTAATTAAGTCTATGTAAAACAAACTTGCATTCCAAATTTGCATTTCTCAAATTCCTCGCTGAGGCCTGATCACTGACCAGGACGCGGGGGCGTTGACCCCCGAAGCCCCCTCCAGGTAAGTATCCTAAATTCTAACACTTCAGTAAGTCCCTCACTGCAGGACTCGACACTATGTTTATGATTCCAGGGAACATCGCCCCCGAGGCTCGGTTTCGTCTCTGACGCACTCCACGACTTTTTAACACTCCCTTCTGGTCAGCCAGACTCTGGTGCATACATTGGAGTGCGTGCGACTGGCACAAACAGCCTGGTCGATCAGCCTAGGTCGTCTGGTCTGAGACCGAACTGCGAGAGCGGTGACCTCCAAATCGTCTCAAGGTAATCTAAAAAAAAAAAGATGTAGCTCTCACTTCTTGTAATTTGAGTTGGCTTTACAAAACTAAGAAAACGAATCTTATCAAAATAAAATTATGAGGTCGGAACAACGCTCCCAGAACTCTGGGCAGTCAAGCTTCCGTAATGTTTCTGGATTAGACTTCATGTAATAAAGAATCTAGACAAAAGACAAAAATAAAGGAACAGCAGCAGCATAAGGCGAAGTGAGAGTGAACATATTAAGGATGACTATAATGGTGACGAAAGTGACAAATAACGAGACAGAGAAAAGCAACTGCGTCCAGATGCAGCCATTACCAAACTATCATAACAATCATATACCATTAAATAATAATTCCATGTGGCACTTGATTAAATGATAGTATTTTTCTCGACTCGATCCAACCATTTTCCCAGGGGGAATGTGAGAAGGAATCTATATAAGGTTGGCTCCCATAACGCCCCTCAACACTCGCTCTTCAGTTGTTCTACCAACACAACACAACACAACCAACTCAACATGTTCAAGGTATCCTGCAGTCTTATGACAAGAAATGGAATTCAGTGCTTTTTTTTTTTTTGGCTTTTCCTTGCTAATTTTGTTGTTGAGTAAAAGGCATAATGAAATCTACTATATGATAAATGCTGAGGTATACCTAGAATAAGAGTAAATCCTTTCTGCCCAGTGAGTACATATTCCTGCTAAACAGGGATACAAAACCTAAGATTTTTATTAATAATTTTCCAAATACTAATTTATCAGCAGGTGGCCGCGATACTGTTGACAGTGGGTGTAGTCGTGGTCCTTCCCACTGATCCCTACGGTCAACCAAGCTATAAGTCGGTAAGAATTAGTCTTAGCTCTGGTTAGCCCACTGGAAGTTGACCCACTGAACGGATCATCTAGGACCCGTGTCAGGAAACACTGCGTTGTTTCTTGACGAATAACTCACCACGATCTGTCTTTAAATTATCTTTAACTAAGTCATAGGATTTAAGTGCATTCTCTAGATGTCAATTATGCATGACAAAATCTTTTCTGATATATTCATAACCCCCCCCCAAAAAAAAAATACTCTATCAATAAAATTATGTAAAACCAATAAGAATTAGATATTTGAAATTAAAAAGAAATATACCTAGAAGAAAATGTAGGATAAAACAGTATTCAACAAACATATTATTGTTCTATGTTTATAGTACTGCAATATTTTTAAATTTATAAAGTATAATTGACATAAAAATCACATGTTAAGCTACGAGAGTACTACATGTACCTATATTTCTGATTTAGTCTAAACAAGGACGCTATATATTTATGTTTCCAAATACTTTTCTTATATATTGGAAAATAATTATTTATTGTCCTTGAAGGTGTTATTCAACCTCCTTCGACCTCTTATGGTGCAATGTTATCCATCTTTAATAACAGAATTTAATAAAATTGCCTAAAACATATGAAAACTGTAACTACCTACCATAAGAACTCGAAGTTGAACATCCTCTTAGGGGCAAAATACCAAAGTCTGTCAAATAAATCCTCTGAAAATATTTACTGATATACACTATGGTACCCAAAATTAATTACTCATTGATTCTGTTTATATCCAGAACCCCATGCCCTACAACTTCGCCTACGGAGTTAAGGACAACTATGCCGGTACCGACTTCGGCCACAATGAGAACTCTGACGGCTCTACAGCGAAGGGTTCATACAATGTTGTGCTCCCTGATGGCCGCATACAAACAGTAAATCCCAAATAATTTACAATGCTCATAACAGAGAAATACAAGAAAATCTATGAACCATAATTAACATAATTAAAACCTATTTCTGTTTCCACCAGGTGAACTACGTGGCTGACCACTACAACGGGTACCAGGCTCAAGTGAGCTACAAGGGTGAGGCTCAGTACCCTCACGAATACGGTCCCCCAGTTACCTTCAAGCCCCAATACCAGCCTTCTTACCAACCCTCCTACCAACCTTCCTACCAATAAATGTTGATCTAACATTTGAGTTTTAACATTTCTCTCCTGGTCTGTAATGAACCTACTTGCACTATGTTAGACTACACAAACAAGATATATTTTTCATATTATCAGAAACATTAAGAAATCATGTAAGGGTTATTTTCGCAAAAACATTATGTGAAGGGTAACCGAAGAATGTTGAGGTAATGTCAATAATTCCTTAACTTCATTCACAATGCACTCTGCAACACAAACTTTATTCACAATATTTGTATAGAAAGTCTCAACAGTCAAGGATTCTATTGTCAAGATCATCTCATTCATAATGATTAAACTTGAATCTGAATTTATCTACAAAAGAAAATAACACTGGAGTCACTGTGTGCTGTACATTCATACACGCTATAAAGGTATATATTTCCCATGTCTACATACGCAGCTTTCTATACTCCATATTTTTAGAGATTAAAGTATTTCTGAATGTTAATGTACATGTAACATGCGGTCTTAATTAGCGACGCTTTAATGCTCAAACTATACAACATGTTATCTGTTCACAAACTAACAAAATGCATAAAGTTCCTATTTATCATTCCAATGACTTAATATAACAATGACCTACAATACCAGAGACTTACTTTACAATATAATCTACCAATGTACAGTGACTATTATAATCTGAAACAAATTATCATATACACATAGAATATACTGTACACTTAAGTATTTATACAGCATCTATGTTACTGAGTAAAAGGTCATTGTGTGTGTCTTACCTACAAGCTGATATTTTCATGGCTCATCCCTGCCCATGAGGCCCAGCACACCCATAAAGACCTGATCAACAAAACAGTTGGTGTTAAATTAGACACATGTGCAACTCTTGGGTATCTTTATTGAGGAAACGTTTCGCCACACAGTGGCTTCATCAGTCCATACACAGGAGAAACTTGAAGATTGATGGACTGACCGCATCGACTCCAGGTTGAGGGACTGATTACCTCATTCTCCTCCTGTTAACATAAGAACATAAGAATGGAGGAACACTGCAGAAGGCCTACTGGCCCATGCGAGGCAGGTTCTTAGAGATCTATCACCACAAGCCATAACTGACACTACCGTCCTCCTACCATCACTACCATCTTCAAGTTTCTCCTGTGTATGGACTGATGAAGCCACTGTGTGGCGAAACGTTTCCTCAATAAAGATACCCAAGAGTTGCACATGTGTCTAATTTAACAACATGTCGGTTCTTTGAACCATTCATCTACAAAACAGTTGGTGTTTGCTGTTCTTAGTATCACGTAGGTACAAAATTTGGTCTCATCGGGATTAATTTCGAGGAACTTCCCAGGTCTCACTTAGAGAGGGTAAGGGATCAGTATTCTTTGCAGAAACCTGTTCATATTTTCACTAAGACAGTAATTATACGTTATATTCCCTCAGAATCGTGCATATATTTGAATTAAAAAATAAAGTGGTCATCGAAATACAAAAACCGACAGAGATATAAGGACGTTTTTAGAGGGGTAATAGTCCTTCAAGCAGAGATGCATCGACTAAGAATCATGGTTGAAAGAGAATCTACAGTCAACCGAGTCACAAATTATAGGTTATTACTTGATTCACGAAATGGTAATGACACGATAGCAAATAAACCATACCACGGGAGGGGTTTGAACCCGCGGCCAGAGTGTTTAAAAACTCCAGACCGTCGCGTTAGCCACTGTCCCAGTGGCTAACGCGACGGTCTGGAGTTTTGAGACTCTGACCGCGGGTTCAAACCCCACCCGTGGTATGGTTTACAGCTTATTAATTACGTCTCACTTGCTATGTTTCACACCTGTAAAAGTTTAAACATTAAATACTTAAGAGTGCTAAAGTATATGTCCACTTGTTTACATATACATGGAAAAAAGTTAACAGTTAAGTTGTACAGGTTTTCCACGTAATGATCAGGCTAACTAAAACCGACTGACATAACACGTCTTAACAAGTATTATAACAAAAAAAACAATATCGATAGTGTTTTTGAGACGAATTGCCCATTTAACACTTCGCTGATGTGCTGTACAAAATAATGTATTAGGAATGGGCCAAGGTATCGGTGTGTGTCGAAGTACAGGTATATATATATATATATATATATATATATATATATATATATTATATATATATATATATATATATATATATACACACACAGTGGACCCTCGAATTTAGTCCTGCCTTTTCTGTATGCAAAATTATTTTTATCTATAAAATGTATTTTTTGTTAATATTTTTGGGTGTCTGGAATGGTTTAATTGGATTTACATTATTTCTTATGGGAAATATTAACAAAAAATACATTTTATAGATAATAAAAATAGTTTTGCATACAGAAAAGGCAGGACTAAATTCGAGGGTCCACTATATAAACATACATATATATATATATATATATATATATATATATATATATATATATATATATATATATATATATATTATATATATATAATATATATCGGCGAACATTCTGGCACTGTTCTAACATTCACAATGGAACGTGTTACAGTTCAGTTTTGAAGGGGTGAGGCAACTTAGTCTAGTATACAACAAGTCAGGATTCCCAAAATGTATAGCCTGAATTTGTTTGCTCTCTGTCAAACACTTAATGAAGCATGTTGAAAACTACGTGTTCTTGAGAGAGAGAGAGAGAGGAAGAGAGAGAGAGAGAGAGAGAGAGAGAGAGAGAGAGAGAGAGAGAGGAGAGAGAGAGAGAGAGAGAGAGAGAGAGAAGAGAGAGAGAGAGAGAGAGAGACTATGTTGGGCAAGAAAATACTGGCTTACAGGAGCCCACTGAGCCACACTCAATTTAGACCTTTTATGTTACCAGTATTTCATGAATTTTGTAATATTAGTCTGTATTTGTGTGCATATATATATATATATAATATATATATATATATATATATATATATATATATATATATATGTCGTGCCGAATAGGCAGAACTTGCGATCTTGGCTTAAATAGCAACGCTCATCTTGCCATATAGGACAAGTGAAAATTTGTGTATGCAATAATTTCGCCAAAATCATTCTGAACCTAACGAAAAAAATATATTTCACTGCGTTTGTTTAGTATTAAATTATTGTAAATAAATCTAAAATATATTTAGTTAGGTTAGGCTAAAATAAATTGCGCTTGTTATAATAAGGTTAGGTAAGTTTTCTAAGTTCCTTTTGGAGCAAAATTGTAAATTTTTACATTAACATTAATGAAAAAAATATATCTTTAAACGTATAAAAGAAAATTTTAGAAAGGACTTAATTTTAAATGAGTTCTTGCTAATTGACCAGTTTTACATATTCGGCACGACATATATATATATATATATATATATAATATATATATATATATATATATATATATATATATATATATATATATATATAACAACACTGTGCTAGCCAAGGATTCGAACCCATGTTGTACTGCCCTGCCTCATGGTAAGCGATAACCACAGTGTTGTTATTGATCAATACCACTCGTTCGCGGTTACAATAATATATATATATATTAATATATATATATATATATATATATATATATATATATATATATATATATATATATTATATATATATATATATATATATATATTATATATATAAGGAATTCGCAAGAGCTGGCGAAATATACACAAACACTGATCTCTGGCTGAAGGAAACTCGAACCTACGAACCTTGGGACAAGGTACGCAGTGCTTTACCAATCTACCCACACTGGACAATACCTTGGCGTGTAGCTAGCGCTACACGTTTGATCCAAGGCAGCCAGCTTTCAGGGAGAAGCCTTACAGCTTTTCATCTGTGTATATTTCGCCTGCTCTTGCGAATTCCTTACATTGTTAATACCTCTAGGAAGGCTGATGCATGCAGGGGATGAGATGAAAAGCTGTACAAAATTATTAATTTTTATGGTAATATAAATGAAAAAATATATCTTTAAACGCATAAGAGAAAATTTTAGAAAGGACTTAATTTTAAATGAGTTCTTGCTAATTGACCAATTTTACCTATTCGGCACGACACACACACATTATATATATTTATATATATATATATATATATATATATATATATATATATTTTATATATATATATATATATATATTATTGTGCACAAACACACTTCTGTCTCATGTCTGACCTTCCTTGAATTCCATCTCCCTGATTCCTCTCCTTTGCTTCTACCTCAACTCCCTTCCCCTTCCCTCCGTCGTTTCACACCGCTTTTTATTTTTACCGGTGATGGGAAACTATAAACTAAACACTGAGTAATTTGAAATACTTTCATGTGTGTAACAACAAACAACCTGTGTGGTGGTGGGTGTGCGCTGCCAAGTAATCAACTTCTCACACTTCGCCACAGTAACTTGACGTAATAGTTAACCAGTCTGGAGTCTTGTGATGAAGCTTCCGGCAACACCCTACCATCTGCTCCAACGTACATAACATCAATAATAGAGCGCCCTCAGAAATAAACAATAGCTTAAGACTTTTCTATCAAAACTGCTCAATTTTAAGCAATCCATTTTTACTTTACGTACATTCAGCTCAATGCCTCGTAAGTCGACTTTTGAATCAGCGATGTATATATTTGTACACTGGTGTTATATAATGCCATATATTTTATATATATATATATATATATTATAATATATATATATATATAAAATATATATATATATATATATATTATATATATATATATATATATATTTTTATATATATATATATATATCGTGCCGAATAGGCAGAACTTGCGATCTTGGCTTAAATAGCAACGTTCATCTTGCCATATAGGACAAGTGAAAATTTGTGTATGCAATAATTTCGCCAAAATCATTCTGAACCTAACGAAAAAAATATATTTCACTGTGTTTGGTTAGTATTAAATTATTGTAAACAAATCTCAAATATATCTAGTTGGGTTAGGCTAAAATAAATTGTTCTTGTTATAATAAGGTTAGGTAAGTTTTCTAAGATTCTTCTGGTGCAAAATTATAAATTTCTACATCAACATTAATGAAAAAAATATATCTTTAAACGTATAAGAGAAAATTTTAAAAAGAACTTAATTTTAAATGAGTTCTTGCTAACTGACCAGTTTTACATATTCGGCACGACATATATATATATATATATATATATATATATATATATATATATATATATATATATTATATATATATATATATATATATTTATAAA